CTGACCCGCCACTCTCTGCCCTCTCTCCTCTCCCTCTGCAGGATCCCTGGTCCAGGCAGCGCTGACTCAGCAACCGGCCTCGGTGGACGTGTCCCCCGGAGGCACTGCTCGCATCACCTGCTCTGGTGCTAGCAGCGGTGCTTATGGCTGGATCCAGCAGAAACCTGGTGGTGCCCCAGTCGTTGTGATCTATAGCAGCAACCAGAGACCCTCAGGCATCCCTGCAAGATTCTCCGGTTCTGCATCTGGCTCCACGGGCACCTTAACCATCACTGGGGTGCAAGCCAAGGACGAGGCTGTCTATTACTGTGCTAACAATGCTGGTGCTTATGGTGGTGACAAGGTCACCTCGAGCATAGCAGAAGTGTAACCCAGACTTCCTTCTACGGCAATGATCATTGAACAGTGCCTGATTTTTTCGTGTGATCTTTGAAAGGATCCCAACCACAATTCACACCATGATCTCCATGGTCTGCTGTGGTGATGCGTAGCTGGAGCCTGGGAACAGGAAAGTCCTTGTCCAGGTGGCCCCATGTGCAAAGCAGGAAAGCAAGGAGGCGAAAGCGAAAAACAGCAGAGCAAGAGGACAGGGGAAGTCCTGGAGTCTTTGAGGTTGGATGCACCTTCCAACGACTTTTGTTCTGTGGCACTTGGGAGAAAGGCAGTTCTTGGAGCCTGGTGTTTTCCAGGCTCTGGTGTCCAGAGGTGCTGCCTGGTGGGGCCTGTGGGCACCAGGTTCCCTGGTCCAGGCAGTGCTGTTTCTGCTGCCCTGAGTGGACGTGTCCCCTCGAGGCACCACCACCATCACCTGCTCTGGTGGTGGCAGCTACTTTGACTGGTACCAGCAGAAACCTGGTGGTGTCCCAGTCCCTGTGATATATTTGAACGACAAGAGACCCTCGGGCATCCCTGCGAGATTCTCCGCTTCGAAGTCTGGCTCCTCGAACACCTTAACCATCACTGGGGTGCAAGCCGAGGGCGAGGCCGTCTATTACTGTGCTGACAATTATGATGGTGTCATGTGAGACACTGAACACTGGTGGAGTTTGGAGGTGTTGGACTGTCTTGCCGTGCTCTTTGCGTGTCTTGGCCAGCCTGGCGCTCCTATGCAGGGAGCTGGATGTGGATATTCTCTTCTTGGGCCATACACAAAAACCTGAGATCTCCAAATAAGAAAGGAAATTCTGCCTTGACTCGGAATCAGCACCAGAGGCCTAAAATGCCTTGGAGTTTGGAGCACCTGTAGGTGTTACCTTAAATATGCACACTCATCACCTAGTGTACACCCCCCACCACGCTTCAGAGCGCTCATGGACCGCTGTGTGTTTGGTAGGAGAGGAGCTCTGTCTCTTCTCTGGTTAAGAAATGTGCAGCTTGCACTTGGAAGATTTTCTTCAGCCCAAGTATTGAGTAGGACCCAGCCCTCGTACATTAGCTTCTCCTTTCTGAGCCTTCAGAGGACTGAGTTGCAGGACTTTCTTAAATTGTGTGTGAGTTCTGGTGTTGTGCCCACAGTTAAATGCTCCCAAGGAGCCATCCCATCTGAGATAGCAGTGGCAGAAGTGTCAGATGTCGTGTTGTTCTGCGCGGGGGGCTCTGCTGCTGCCACGCTTGCTGACCYGACGCTCTCTGCCCTCTCTCCTCTCCCTCTGCAGGATCCCTGGTCCAGGCAGCAGTGACTCAGCCGGCCTCGGTGGACGTGTCCCCCGGAGGCACCGCCACCATCACCTGCTCTGGTACTGGTAGCACCTATGGCTGGATCCAGCAGAAACCTGGTGGTGCCCCAGTCGTTGTGATCTATGACAACAACAAGAGACCCTCGGGCATCCCGGCGAGATTCTCCGGTTCTGCATCTGGCTCCTCGAACACCTTAACCATCACTGGGGTGCAAGCCGAGGACGAGGCCGTCTATTACTGTGGTGGTTATACTGGTAGTGCTGCTGCTGACACGGTGACACCATGCAAAGGGAAGAGTTGCATGGAGCTCATGCCATTGCATGGACCATCAAACGGTGTTTGTTTTCCCTGTGCGATGGTCGCACAGCTCCCGACCGCAGCCGTCCCCACACTCCCCCACTCTGCACAGGCCTCTGCCCGGCTCTACTTCCCTCAGCCTGTGCCCAACACGGTCACTCGGGAGGAAGGAAGAGACCCCAGGCTGGTGGGGCCCTGGGTGAGCGCAGGCACAGGTTTTTTTCCAGGCATCCATGAGGAAGGAGCCCTGGGGCCTTCTTGGGTGACAGTAGGAGCTCTGCTCTGCTCTGCAGCATGAACACAGAGAATTGGCCACCAGCAAGAGTTCAGCCTAGATTCAGGGGAACCCGGGCTCTGTGTTGCAGCAATTGAGCTCTGGCAGAGGCTCCTTGGCCCTCTCTGCTCATGTGGGTCTGGGGATGGGTGTCCTATCTGCTCTGTCCTACCTGATGGGAGCAGCAGTGATGATTATGGCATCAGCAACTATGGCTGGCTCCAGCAGAAACCTGGTGGTGCCCCAGTCCCTGTGATCTATTACAACGACAAGAGACCCTCGGGCATCCCGGCGAGATTCTCCGGTTCCAAGTCTGGCTCCACGGCCACCTTAACCATCACTGGGGTGCAAGCCGAGG